GAGAGAGAGAGAGAGAGAGAGAGAGAGAGAGAGAGAGAGAGAGAGAGAGATCACGCATCCCTGACCACCCGCGCAGCCACGATTTGACATCTTGTGTAGAGAGTTTTTAAGCGGTCGTTGATGTGAAGTCCTTTCCTGCAATGCTCACATTCGTTATTCCCTCCATGCTGGCCTGCGTTCGTTACGACCTGTACCATTATCTCTTTGATGTACGATATGAGATGAAACAGACAGTCCGCAACCAGCCTCGCCATTTGTCGCGAATTCGCTTTTGCAACGAACTTTTGAAATGTGTCCGTCGTCATTGGCAACACAATAGATTCTGCATCAGCACAAGGTGCTTTGCTAGCGATGACACATGAGAAGTTGTGACGAACGTGGTGACAATTCAGTGTGGCAACATCGGTGCACGCCAGCACGGCATGCGGCGCAGGCGCGCAGTCCCTGACAGTGGTCCCAATTCCTATGGAGGTTTGCATTGTTGTGTCGATTTCTTCACCTACCTTCGTCCTTTCACCTTCTGCACTTCCCATAACAACTTCGTTCGCACAAGTCACCGTCATTTCTCCATCCAACAACCTACCTCGTATGTGTTGTAGGGCATCAACGACGTCCGAGCAACCGTTCAACAGAGACGTCATATGACAAGGAAGGTCATCCTTACCAATCGTGACACCCTCATCACAGAGACCGTACTCATCTACGGTTTTCTTACAGTGGCGAATACAGTCTGCTGCGAAAGCCAAGAGGTCGACGACACTGCGTGACGAAGCAGTTAGCGAACCCGTATTATATTCTTGGCTATCATACGATGCCCACCCCTCCTTCAACACACACTTCTCAGGGCTGCCACAAGATGCGACATCAAGTCCTTGTGATTCCCTGTGAGTTCTCTTTGTGACGTGGGCGGCAAACCGATTCAAGACCGCGGTGCGCCTGCGTCTTTCACCATCCAACCATGTCTGGAACTCGTCAAACGTGGTGGTCTTCGTTTCAGCTATTGCCTTCAGTCTGGCAGTCATGTCTTCCCTCAGACGAGTTATGTCTAAACACTTTGGATCATCTGGGAACAACCAGAACAAAGTGAACATCCTGTGTTCCGCAGTTTCTGTCATTTCTACGAGCAGTGACTTAATACGACCTAGTTCGTCTGACATCTGTCTCGCCAATTGTTTCTGCTTATGTACCTCGTCTGTTAGCCTGTCTATATGTTCTCGTTGCTTCTCTACTATCTGACCCCAGTTCCGGTCCATCTCAGTCGTTTTCTCTTATTTGACCCCCACTAGTAGAAAGTGAAACGCCATTGCATCACACTCTTCGCCTGACTTTCTCTTCTGTCCGGTTTTGGCCAATCTTGACACCTGGAAATATATGTACATACAGAGAAATACAGAGTGATAGAGATAGATAGATAGATAGATAGATAGATAGATAGATAGATAGATAGATAGATAGAGAGATAGAGAGAGAGATAGATAGAGAGAGAGAGATGCAGAGACATACCCTCACTACTTCCATAGTTGTTGTTAGCGGGCGCCTACCGAAGATTGGCTATATGTACGTGGCAACATACATTGGTATTTATTACCGTACATCTGCGTTTCCCCCGTTCATGACGCGATATAATAGTGGACAACACAACTTAACAAATACAAAGTAGACCATTCTTTCCAAACGCATCCGTCGGAATGAGGGAGTGAGAGACATAGAGACGCGGGAAAGAAAGAATGGAGAGAGAGAGAGAGAGAGAGAGAGAGAGAGAGAGAGAGAGAGAGAGAGAGAGAGAGAGAGAGAGAGAGAGAGAGAGAGAG